GATTGCTCATTCTATTTAAAATTCATAGAATATATCATGTTAGTTGTATACCTATTACATATGAGTATGGTACTAAACAAACAAACTAAAATGTTATACATGTAAATAGAACTGGATCCAATATCGCGACATACTTTAATTTGTGAACACCCTTATTAACTGTTTTTTTTTCCAATTCATTTCATATAACAGCGTAAAGACCAAGAAAGATCTCATAAATTCTGTCATGGAGGAATTGACTAGATTGCTTGGGAATATTTCCGTGGGAGTAAACAAAGAGAGAGAGGCAAATAGTAAATGTGTCATGGTTCCTGCAAGGAAACTCCAGATCAGCCATTCTGAGAAGCTAAGAAATTGGACATGGAGTTCTATCTACGAGGCACCGAAGTAAGTGCAACATATATTTATATATTGAGTTAAACTGTATTCATTTGCTAGAGACTGCTTTTGGTATATTATATACAAGAACCAATGGTTTTATAATATTCAGTGAAGCTGCCATTGAAATTGTGATGCTGAATGAAGTTTACTGGCTACACATTTCTGGAAATTTTCACACAAGAAATCTAACACCAGGGACAAAATATGAGGTTGTGTTTCTGGTGAGCTTAGAGGATACATCTTCAGGATGGGAGCAGCCGGTGAGCCTAAGCTTGAAGCTAGTTAATCTAGATGGAACAGAGAGTTTGCAAGAGCAGACAACAAGCTTGGAAGGTCACATAGGCGAAAAATGGGTTGATATTCAGGCTGGAGTTTTGGTGGCACCTCCTAGGAACGCGGCGGCGAAGATGACTTTCACCATGTATCAATACGTGACCACTGACCGGAAGAACGGGCTCATGCTCAAAGGTGTTGCAATTCGTCCCATGCAGTAATTAAGGCACAACATATTGGTATTTTGTTTTTGGTATTTTGTTGTTTGAAATTCTTGTAAGTTTTTATTTAATTTTTCAATGTAGTATCTTTCCAACTTTATGGTATAGCTTGGCTTTGAGAGACTAGCTAGTCATGTTCCCAATCTTATAAGTAAATTTTACATGATTGTTTTGATTTTGTAATATGGTTGTGTTTATGTTTACCATTGAATTTGTGTAACTTTGTTTGTATTCGAATTTGAATAAGATTGTTTCAGTTCGCCTCAACTAACGGTCGTCCTTTGCTTACAAGACTTAATTCCGCATAATTTGACTTGACCTTCTTTTTAGTCATCTAATTACAGAAAATCTATATCGATTAAATTATTCGACAGTTGATGTGTGGATTAGGTGATAAAGCTCCAAGAATAATCACGCTTGTGGCTTTTTTTTATCAATGAAAAAACTTATATCAAATTTAATCATTTCAAATATAAATTTATTCATTAAGCAGGCCAGCCAAAGAAGAAAAGAAAATCGTATTATCTAATTTTGGATTGCCACCGCAGTTTCTATATAAACCAAATTCCAAAATACAAATTTGCACAAAAGACATCTTTCAACCTTCTCATTCATCAACGAAACACAAAATATATCACTTGAGTAAACGTTCCAAAGGCGGCTACAATGAAGAAGATGTTTTTTTGTTCAAATGGCGATGGCGTGGCTGATCATCGCCGTGGTGGTCGTTGACGTTATGAAACACAATTCCATTATTACTATGGTAGCTGAATTATTCTCACTCGTAGCGGCCATGGGTTTAGTGGTTAGAATCTAACTTTTGATTTCTCAACTTTTCTATATCTTCTCTATATGCTTGTTAATGTCATTATCTGAAGTTGATATGAGATTTTAAAATTTGGACAGATACAATTTTGGGTCCTCAAGAGACAAAACGATGAGGTCTTTAAGATCAATGCAAGGGCTCTCTCTATTACATGGTCGGATAACTCTGAATATTGGTCTTGGGTTCCTCTCCCAAACGAGAAACCAAAGTACGAACTCCATAGTTTCATTAATATATAAATCTTCCGTTACAAAATGGAAATTTCCATATTCTTTCTAAATTAATTAGGTTTCATTTTATCCCATATGTATGATTCTTAACAGATCCTAGTCATGTTCTTGTCTATTAATTGCATATTGGATTCATATAATGCTTTGAGTAAGCGAAGTTGTCCATATAGACCATTCTTCTAACATATAAACTTGTGTATGCAGTGAGGAAGTCGTTGAAGCTGCCGTGTTGAATATGGTTTGCTGGTTAGATGTGTCGGGCAAGTTTGACACAAAAAACCTGCGCTTGGGGACAAAGTACGAGGTGATTTTTATGGTGAAGTTAGAGGATACCGCGAACGGATGGGATTGGGAACCAGTTAAGCTGAAGCTGGTCATGCCCAACGGTAGTGAGACACCASAAGAGCATAGTGTGAGTTTTGTGGAATACATTGGGAAGCAATGGATAGATATTCCGGCCGGTGAGTTCATGATGTCGAAGGAGAACGTTGGAGAGATCAGTTTCTCATTGTATGAGCATGATGCCAATATTTGGAGGTCAGGGCTTATTGTCAAAGGCGTTGTAATTCGTCCTAAACACTAAGTCTAAGGTATTTTGTATGTATTAAT